ATGATGGGAATCATTCATTGGCTGCCTTCTGCACGCCCCCTACTGGGGATTGAGCCTGCAACCTGGGCATGTGCCCTGATTGGGAATTGAACAGTGAATTCCTAGTTTATAGTCAACACTCAACCACTGAGCCACACTGGCCAGACTTCACTCTTTTAACAGTGCCTTTCACAGAGTAGAAGTCTTTAATTTTAATAGGATTGAAATCTATTGAAGTTTTCTTTCATGGATTGTTCTACTACTGGTGTTATATATAAAAATTCATTGCCAAACCCATGGTCACCTAGGTTTCCTCCTAGGTTATCTTGTTTTACATTTGGGTCTGTTTTAACTTTTATGAAAGGTGTACAATAGGTGTCTAGATTCAGCTTCCGCTGTGTAGGTGATCAGTTGTTCTGGCACCATTTGTTGAAAAGACTATCCTTTCTGTATTGAATTGCCTTTGCTCCTTGCCCAAGATCAGTCACCTTTATGTGTGGGTCTATTTCTGGGCTCTCTATTCTGTTCCATTAATCTATCTTATATATTCTTTAACCAATACCACACTGTCTTGATTACTGAAGTTTATAGTAAGCCTTGAAGTTGAGTAGTATCAGCCCTCTGACTTTGTTCTCCTTCAATACGTGTTGGCTGAGTTTTTTTGCCTTTCCATATAAACTTTAAAATCAGTTTGTTGATAGCCACAAAATAACATGCTGGGATTTTGATTGGGATTGCATTGAATCTATGGCTCAAGTTGAAAAGAAGTGACATTTTAACAATACTGAGTCTTTCTATCCATCAACATGGACTCTCCATTTATTTAGATCTCTGACTTATTTCACCAGAGATCTGGTACATATTTTGTTAGAGTTATACCTAAGTATTGCATTGGGGCGGGGGGTACTAATGCAAATGGTAGTTTTTAACTTCAAATTCTAATTGCTGTACATAGAAAACAATTGACTTTGTATATTAACATAATATTCTGAAAACTTGCTGTAATTGCTTTAGTTTTGGGAGTTTTCTCTAGATTCTTTGGAATTTTCTACAGTTGATATATCACTTACAAATAGTTTCATTTCTTCCTTACTAATCTGTGTACCTTTTATTTCCTTTTCTTGTCTTATTGCATTAGCTAAGATTTTTCAATACAATGTTGAATAGTGAGAGGGGACATCCTTGCCTTGTTGACTTTAGGGGAAAAACATCTATTCTCACTATTATGTATGATTTTAGTTGTAGGTCTTTTGTAGATTTGAGGAAAACTTCCTAGTTTGCTGAGTTTTTATCATGAATGAGTGTTGGATTTTTAAAAATGCTTTTTCTGCATCTATTGGTAGGCTTATATAATTTTTCTTCTTTACCCTGTTCTTGTGATGGGTTACATTAATTGGTGTTTGAATATTGAACTAGTCTTACATACCTGGGATAAATTGCAATTGGTCATGGTATATAATTATTTTTATATTTTCTATTCTATTTGCTAATATTTTGTTGATGATTTTTAAATCTTTGCTCATGAATATTGGTCTGTACTTTTCCTTTCTTATAATGTCTGTTTGGTCTTGGTATTAGGGTAATGTTGGTCTCATAAAATGAGTGAGGATTAATATACAGGTCAATTGCTTTCCTATATATAGCAATGAACAATTGGAATTCAGAATTAAAAATAATACCATTTACATTAACACCCTTAAAAATGCAATAATTAGGTATAAATCTAACAAGATATGTACAAGATCTCTGGTGAAAGAAAGGAAATATCTTGTATTCCCTTGCTTCTATTTTCTGAAAAGAGATTGAAAATTGGTATAATTTCTTCCTTAAATATGTGGTAGAATTCACCAGTGAACCATGTGGGCCTGGTGCTTTCTGTTTTAGAGTTATTATTGATAAACTTTTTAAAAGTAGATTTAGGCCTCTTCAGATGATCTCTCTGTATTACTTTTGATAGATTGTTTTTCAAGGAATCATTCTGCTTCATCTAGATTATCAAATTTGTGGGAATAAAGTTGTTCACAATATTTTTTATCCTTTTAATGTCCACAGAATCAATACTATGGTCCCTTTCATTTCTCATATTGATATTAGTAATTGTGTCTTTTATTTATCTTTTATTATTGGTTAGAAGTTTATAAATTTTCTTAAAGAATCAGCTTTGGTTTTGTTGATTTTTCCCTATAAACTTCCTGTTTTCAATCTCATTGATTTCTGCTCTAATTTTTCTTTCCTTTTGCTTACATTGGACTTAACTTACTCTTTTTTTTTTCTAGTTTCCTAAGGCAGAAGTTTAAGACTATTGATTTTTCTTCTTTTTCAACTAGGTGTATTGAATACTAGAAACTTCCCTCTAAGAACTGCTTTTGCTGCATCTCACAAGTTTTGATAAGCTGCATTTTCATTTTGCTTAAAATATTTCTCAAGACTTCTTCGACCCATGTTATTTAGAAAGGTATCATTTAATCTCCAAGTATCTTGGGATTTCCCATCTATCTTTCTGTTGTTAATTTCTAGTTTAATTCTACTAACTGTGGTCTGAGAGCATACTTGCCATGATTTTTGTTTTTTTAAATGTTAACTTGTTTTATGGTCCGGGATGTGGTCTGAGAATGTATATGCTCTTGTTATTTTATAAATGTCAAGATGTTCATTGATGGTAATCTTCAGTTCAACTGTCCATACTGATTTTCTGCCTGCCTGATCTGTCAATTACTGATAGAAAGTGGGAGTCTTCAACTGTAAGTGTAAATTTGGCTTTCTCCTTGCAGTTTTATTGTTTGCCTTGTGTATTTGGTGCTTTGTTGTTTAGTGTACACATTAAGGATTTTTTATATCTCCTTGCAGAATTTACCTTTATCGTCATGTAATGCCTCTTTATTTCTTGCTCTGGTCTGCTGTCTGAAATATAGCTAATACAGCTTTATTTTGATTAGTGTTTCCACGACACCCCCTACCCCCTTTAATTCTCACCCAAGGAGGACATTTGTTCCACTGGTTTTTAGAAGGGGGTGTGGGGGGGGAAGGGACAGACACACATTGACTGGTTGTTTCCCACACTCACCCTGACTGAAGGTGGGGATCAAACCTGCAACCCAAGTATTTGTTTTTGACTGGTAATTGAACCCGAGCCCCTTCAGTGAGTGGGCCAATGCTCTAACCATTGAGCACACTGGCCAGGGCTCTCCTTTTTAATATGTCTCTTTAAAAAGTATATTTTTATTGATTTCAAAGAGGAAGGGAAAGGGATAGAAATATCAATGAGAATTGACCCACTACCTCCCGCATGCCCCCTACTGGGGATGAGTCTACAACCCCCACATGTGCCCTGACTGGGAATCGAATCATGACTTCCTGGTTCATAGGTCAATGCTCAGTCACTGAGCCATGCTGGCCAGGTAGTGTCTCTATATTTAAAATTGGGTTTCTTTAGACAACATATAGCTGGGTCATTTTTAAAAAATCCCCTCTGATAGTCTTTTATCTACCTGACATTTGAAGTGATTACTGATAGTACCTACCACATTTGTTACTGTTTTCTATCATTATTCTTGCTCTTTGGTCTTATTTAGTCTCCCACTCTTTTTCGGTAGGGATAGGGGAGGAAGGTTAAGTATAGAAAGAAGGGTATGGATTTTGAGCATCCAGAGCGAATGGTAGTGGACCTTTGTATTTCTTTGGCTGCTTCTTTTTGGAAAATTCCCCATGAGTGTATTTTGTGGGCATTAATGCAATTTCCCGCTGTAGAAGCTAAAATAAACCATCTTTCATCCCTTCGCCCCTTGGCACCTAGGATGTGGAATGATGGCCTGGGCTTGGACAAATGGCCACTCCCAAGCAGGCCTTTAAGTCTTCATCAAATGACAGAGCAACTGAAATTTATTCACAGCAGTGGGCTGGTGGCTTTGTCCTGCAGCCACTTAAATTTTTGCTTAAGGAAAGCAGATTCATTCTTGAGGAAACTCTGCTTGACTTAAACTGGAGTTCAAATCCTATTTGACTTCAAGCAAATGTCTTTCTATATATAACTGTATCATAAATGATGCAATTTTATAATTGAGAACCAGAGAAATCTAGAAATTAATCTTAGCTTTGTCACTAGCTGTTACATTGAGCAAAACATTCACCTGAGTTTGTCTTCACTTTTTAAAACATAATGTACATAAAAGCACCTTGCTTATATAGTAAATAAACACTTAGGCCATTCCTCATTCACCTTCCTCTTTGTTCCATTGGACTGTGGGTGGGTGGGGCAAGCATTACCTAACTGTAGCCTCAAATGTTACTGCCATCTCTGGCTCAATTTATTGTCAAGGGACAATAATGCAGCTAGAACAAGCGCTGCATTTAGAAACCTACTAAGGGGTGGCAGGCGATTCCTTGCAGTGATTTGCCAAAGACAGTGAACACTGATTGGCCCACTATCTGGCTTACAGGAGGCACTCAGTACTGATGCCATCATGGGCCAAGCAACATGTCTTAGAAGTTCCATGAGAAGAGCGGCCTTGTGGGTCTCTTTCATAAGCGAGTTCCAGATTCCAAAATGGTGGCAGGGTTAAGTGGAAGCTACTTGGACACTCTCCAGGACCAAACTCATATGCTAATTCGTGTTGTGGAACAGAGCTTGGCCTATAGAAGCATTCATATTAAATTAACACTG